CACTCGTTTCATTTCAGTGTTATAATAAAAATGTAGCTGAACTATGAGCTGTGAAGGTGTTTGTATTGGTGCTACAGTTAGGAGGGTAGTCTGCCCTGGAAATGTTGGTAACTTAGGGAAATTGTACTGAAGATTTAAACCAGCTAAGAGCAGCTAGCCTAAAAATTAAGCTATAAGTCAGTGAAATTGGGGAAAAAATAGTCATGTTCAAAAGATCATCACATGCAGCCAGAAATAGATTTAATAAACGGAAAATGAATGGGCCTCACAACTATAAAATAGACTTCTCATAATTTAAGGAATGGACCCTGCTTAATATAAAAGATAGAGACCCAGTGAACACAAGAAAACACTTCCTGAAGCCATCCAACAAAACCAATTAGGAACAGAATTTGGAATAAAAATAATAAAGGAACATTAACAAAACCCATTTAAGACAAAAGAAGGCAATGGAGAAAAAAATTAGAACATGTTAAAACCAAGATTAAAATGTAAATAGAAAATATAAAGAGAAGGCAAATTTCAAATGGATTGAATAATTAGAAAACTAATTAATATGTGAGAGTGATGCTCTTCTTTCTCCACTCCACACCAGCCCCCACCACAGGAGCACTGGTGTGAATGACTTTTTAGAGAAATTGAGCTGTTATATGAAGATAGACAGATAGGATGAAGGAAGGGAGAATAAAGGCTGATGGAGTTGGAGCTAAAAAATTCATCACATGGATGCCACTGAACCGTACACTTAAAACAGACTAAGATGGTAAATAGTGTCTACTTTACTACAATTAAAAATAAATAAAAACAGATTTTTAAAAATTCATTATATGCAAGAAATTTTAGTGGGGGTTTTTAATACAACAAATTAAGCAACAGGAACAATTGTTTCTTCAACAAGTATTTGGATGGGGAAGATGTGACAAAGATTCTGTCAGGATCTTTTCATTGGGAGAGATCCCTATTTCCAGAGACCCGGCGTGAAGAGAAGGCTGAGCCTCAGGGCAGCTGGATGGCACTGGCTGGCAGGGCCCAGACCAAGCCAGGTGGAGGAAACCATACTGACCTGGACCCTGAAAGGTAGGAGGATTTGCTTGCAGGACTGGATAAAAAGCAAGGAAAGCACCCTAGGTAGAAAGGAGTTGATTCAGTCACTGCCTGCATTTGCAAACCTGGAAAATGGGACCTCAGTGTGGCTAGTACCGAATCCATGTTTTATTTTGTTTTTTTTTCAATCAAAAATAAATTTCAATTAAAAATCAGACCTATGAAGGAATAGATTTAATTCTTGAGAGCTCATTTCTTAGAGGCAGCAGATTTTTCCCTTTTCTACACCAAAAGTTTTTTAGTTTTATCTTTTTGAAATGGAAACCTTTGGAAATTGATATTAGTCTTTTCCCCACCTTTTCTACCTTTCTGTGAGACTTATGGTCCTCATAATGAACATAAACTGTAACACCAATCGAAGCCCTCAAGCCGGTGAGACTGTCATGTTCAGCCAACTGCATTTTTAAGTTCTGGCGACTTTCTAAATTATGCGATTTTGTTTCTCCTTTTGCTACTAACATTTCTACCCATAGAAATTACATCCCCTCCCTTATAATTTTCTGTTTCCAGACTGTTGTGAATTTAGAAACTAGACAATTGATCTTACTTACGTATAGATTAAGGGCAAGCACGTGCTGTGAGAGGGCCTGATGCTTTTCTTTCTAATGATAATGCTCTAATATTTACACCAGTGTGGACTTTGTGACTCAAGTTTGACTACCAGGGAACGTGCATTTGCTGGTCTGTACTATACTGTCACCAAATAACCCAGGTATTGAAAGGTGCCATGTCCTAATGTTTACTTTTGAAATTATCCTGACGCTAGGATTTACCATGAATTAATTAGGGTAGGATGAAGAGGGGTTTCTGAAACTTGGAAGTGGACCTAGTTTAAGTACACTTACCCCATTATCTTTCCTGCATCTCCAGCTGCCTAGGTTGATCTGTGTTTGAAACTCAGACTGATGAGTGACACCCCGCTTTGAATCATTTTCTGCTCTACAGAGCTCTGCCGAGCTGGGATAGTTCCAGCTCAGTAAGGCTGTTCATACAGTTTTATCTTTTTGAATATCACCTCTGTATTCACAAAGATGTCTGGCTTTGAAGTACAGGTGAATAATATTTTTTATGATAGCAGCGAATTGGCGCTTTAGCCGTTTAAATGGAGGATTTGTCTGAGAGGTTTTCTGGTGTCTACATTTCAGCTCTCTAGTTCAAAATGCAGCCTTGCAGGACTGTCAGAGGTCCTCTCATGAAAATTTCACTCTCATGAAAATGTGTGCACTCTAGTTAAGACTTTCAGGCCCCAGAATCATGCAGTTAAGGATCTTGTCTTGCAATAACTGTATATATTACATCAACCCCATTATTGCTGCATCTGGAAATGGATCAAATCCTGTGGAAACCCAAAGAGAATAAAAAGTCATACTCCAAATAGACATTTTAGGTTTATATCCCAGTCTCTGGTTCTGTGGCACGATGCCTTTGATACCTGAGGAAGATGTCTTGAGACATTATGTCCTTCTCTAAGCTGGTATTGGGGAGGTGTCCTACTTCCACAAGGTGCCTGCACTGGGGGAGTAGGAGGTGAAGCAGAGGAGTGGCCAGGACTTCATTTTCATCATTTGATTTTCAATATGCCCCTTTGGAATCAATAGTGCCTTTTAGTGCACTGCTTGCCTTACCATTTAATTTAAAGTCATTAAATTAAACTACTATCTATCACAACTATTGCATCCTTTCTTAAAAGACTCTGACATATCGCATCTCCTCATGTAGTTCCTATCCCAGGAATCCCTTTCAGACCTGCAGAAATAAAGTCAGGTGACATTTTTAGTTAGTTATTTAAGGAGATTTATTGAGTATTATCTGTGCAAAGAACTTCGGATGACATCTGGAAGTCTACAGTCTTATTAGGGAACTTTTAGGGGATATTGCTAGAAGAGTATATGGTTTAATTACAGGACCGACCCTAGACAAAACCTTGTCTCCAATCAATAGTTACTTTACTTGGCAGCAGTCTTTTGAGTCTTTCATAGGTAATGTAGGATATGCACAACAAAGCAAAACACCGAACAGTTTGGGTTAAATGTTCAACTCTTGTAAAGGAAACTGGCCTAATGAGGACTGGCCTAGTGGAGGTAGGTGTTATGGAGATGAGACTAGAAGTGGCTCTGAATGAAGAGGAGGAAGAGATGGGCAGAAAAGAACGGAAAGGAGCTGCAGAAGAGAAAGAAGGAAGAATAAATGGCCAGTGTGCTCACAGGCCAGTAAGAGCATCAGCAGGACTTGAGTGAGGGTGTGGAGGCAAACTACTAAAGGCTCTCAAAACCAGGCCAGGGTGCTGAGGCTGGATGATGTAATTGAGAGCTATTGAAAGTTTTGAGCAGAGACGTGTTATGATTAAAGCCATGCAAAAGAAAGATTAGTTCGATATGGAAAACAGATGAAATAATGTCCACAAAGAAGCTATTAAAATCATCTAGCCATAGGCCTCCAAGGGCCTGGATAGGATGTGGCCAATGGGAATGGAGAGGAAACGAGATAATACGCAAGACATTTTATTATGTTTTTGTCACTTGCGAGGCCATATTCTTACAGTTTAGTGGTAGCTGAGATCTGGAAAGACCGTTCAGATGTAAGGGGCTCCTCAACTATTATGTCAGGTTAAATGAATTACAGAGGAAAGGTAGGAAAGGTGAGGGAGAGCCGTCTATGTAACATTGGGGACATGTTCGTAATTTAATAAAATAAACAAAACGTTATACTGCTTCCTCAGAATTTGGCTTGACACAGAAAGGAGGCAAGAGAAGCCTTACATTTATTTGTAGTTATGAAAAGAGTATCCAACTTTCATGGAGAACTTTCTTCTGCCTTTAATATTGATGACACCACCATTCTCTTGATATCCAATCCAGTGTCCAAACTGGAAACTCACTTTTTACTTGACTCTTTCCCTTAATCTCCATATCCAGTTACCCAGAACTAAATACTTATGTTTAACTGTATACTTCCTGTTTTCAGCATTCCCAATGCCTCTATCCTAAGCCCTCTTGCTCTTACGTTTCTTTCTTTGGATATTAATAACTGACCATCTTACAAGGGCTTGTATGGGAGGGGTGGTAGAATTTAACATATCAAAGTACTGTAAAAAGTAGAGACTTGAAACTGCATTTATGAATTTAAAAAAAAGATTAGCGACTATCTCATTAAAACAGTGTCTGACTCTGTTGCATTCTGAACAGAGGCCACTCATCAAGAGCTTTAAGAGCTGCCTCTGTTGAAGATACAGTACTCGTGGGGAACCTACATATTTTATAAAGGAAGCACAGAGGTGTCCCAACTTGAGCCGAAGGATGGTGAGAGTGAAAAGTTAAACCCACACCTTGGACGGCAAACAGGGCACTGCCTGAGCCTTGTATCTTTCAAGAGGTGCATCCCTTTCTAGAGCAAGAACCAGCTTGGCTTCTGAAAATTGATTCTTGGAGATTTCTGGAAGGAATTACCCCAGAGTCTTTTCCATTATTAGAACAAAGCATGGAAGACAGAGAGCTCTTGACCATGAGGAAAACCTGGACAAGAAATCACTTTTTTTCCCATATATGTTTTTCTACCCATTTTCTAAATGGGACTGCTGTTTCCCTAGAACAAAAAATAAGCCAAAAACATCTTAAGTATTGTAAGATTGGTCAGCTATAGTACGAGCTTCCAATATAATTTACCTACAGCAATGTAGTGACTAGAATTTTGAGATGACCAAATATGGTATAACACAAACATCGTATAATGAAAATAATAAAATGCTGACACCATTTCCAAAGAATAAGGCCAGGTTATAATATTAAGTGTGCCTTTCTTGATACGATTCATATACTGATATTTATGGTTTAACACAGTCCATCTGAATATTTATGACATTATTTTCAGCCAGTAAGAATGCCCATTCTGTTTTTCAGCTTCTCCCGTTGGCAACGGTTACATCAAGCCTCCGGTTCCACCTGCTTCTGGCACGCACAGGGAGAAAGGGCCGCCAACCATGTTACCCATCAATGTGGACCCAGACAGCAAACCAGGAGAATATGTCCTCAAAAGTTTATTTGTCAACTTCACCACTCAGGCCGAACGCAAGATTCGTATCATTATGGCCGAGCCCCTGGTGAGTACATGCCGTGGAACCTGCCTCTTTGAAACTTCATCTGTATGCTGTTATACTAGATTTAAACACTCTAACAAAAGATGGATTGCTTTTCTTCTAGTTTGTAAAGGTTCTTTAATATCATAGGTAATGTGTTAAAGATAATAGTTAGGTTCCCTGATCTAAGAGAAACAATTTGAGTGTCAAGGATTTTAAAACAATCTTCAGCAAATACTATTCAGTAGCATGCTTCACTGCTGCATTTGGGACTCATAAGCATAATTTAACAAGAGGAAGTATCAAAGAAGTATCAATCATAGAAAAATTGTGTTCAGAGTCTCTGTGATATATATATGTGTATATATATCATACACATATTTTATATATATGGCAAAATCTTTTGTCCAGTTTTTAAAGTAGATGACAAGAAAAATCATTTTGTTCAAGTGGCTGTGTGGACTTTGAGTTTGAGAAGTTAAGGGCTTGGTACCATATTGTCAGAGGAAGTGTTTTGATGAGTCGTTGAGAAACACTATTTCCATTTCTAAAACATGAAAGACAATACATTCTTGACTGACTTACCTTTAGTTCCCTCGTTAGACACATGATGCCTTTGGATGTCAGTGTCTTTGGTTGCAGATGCTTCTGCTAGAAAATAAGGCAGGCATGAGTCCGCCTTACGTTAATTGCTCTAACAGGGCTCTAAAGAGCGCTGAATCTCTCCAAAGGACAGTCAGAAAGGAAGGAAGTGCAATTGGTAGATTCAGATTACCTGTTTTCTAACCTTGGCAGAGCCACACACAATAAAATAAAAGGAAAAGAATTCAGAGTGATGCAGCTGTTTCTGGGAAGTGTGACTTTGTACCTCCTATGAGGTTACTGGGGTAATAAGAAGATAATCAGAGGTTTGCTTTGCAGAATTATAACTTAAAATAATTAAATACAGTATTCTTAAGCCTGCAATACATGTCTCTGAAAATATGTAACAGATGATGCCCATCATCTGTTAAAAATGACCTTTACAAGAATTACAACATAGGGTTTGGGAATTAGAATTCATAAACGTTTGTTAAGTGTGTTTACCTGAAAGTTACAAACTTTGCTCAATAAAATTTTTATTAGATCAGTGGATGTTACATTTATCCATTCTGTTCATAAAATTCTCTTCATTTATTGAATTTCCATAATTATGGGAAATGTTTCTTGCTTTTACAGTTTAAATCATCTAAATTCATCCTGACTACAGGACCTTTATTTCCATTCACTCATGTTTTTGTGTTTCTGCTCCTCTTACTTCTACTAATAGCTGATATCTGTGGTGTGGTTACTATGTGCTAGGCATTGTGCACAACTTATTACCTCGTTTAATCTTCACAGTGACCTTAGGTAGACAGCACTTATTTCCTGCTTACAGATGAGGAAAGTTGGCACAGAGAAGGTTAAGTAAATACTCAAGGTCACACAGTGTTGATTGAAACTCAAACTAGGTGGCTTCAGAACCCACATCTGAACCCCTCTGTACTTTATTGTAAATCTTTCATTGGTCGTCTTCATGTAAAAACACTGTTGCAGATACTGTTGCTAACTTCTTAAAACAAACCAACACAGGACTCTCCTGTAATTTGAATCAGCCACTTCAAGTATCCAAGGTCCCAATGCCCAGAACAGGGCTGACCCTTGGAGCCTCCAACCCCTGAAGCAGCCCAGACTCCTCCCCTGGTGGAGGATGTGGGTCAGTTTAAAGAGAGAGTGGTGAGGCACAATAAAGATTCATTTCACCCTGTAGCCCTAGAAAAGTGCAAAAATGACAGATCTGATCTCTTTGAAATTGTGTATCCTAATGAATTTTCCTGAGGAGCTGTGAAGTTGTACAAAAGTTCAAAGAGATGCTTACACAGCTAGGTCCTGACACCTTTTGAACCATCCATGTTTCCAAAATAATAGTTTACTGTTTTTTTAAGAGTTTATGAAGTAAAATAGTTTGGATTTAACTTTGTCCCTCAACTCAGGTTGGAATTCGTTTGCGTGGAGTTTGTTTTTTCTTCTTGGAATAAGGATTAGGTCTGAAAAATGTACATGTGCCATAGCATTCTTTTAATAGAAGTAGACATTTTTGTTCCACTCTGTGATACAACTAAAATGTCCCCAAACAAGAAAAAATTTTAAAGTGTAAGTTCTTGTCATAAGGAAATCTTCCTTATGTGCTCTTAGAGTGAAGGATTCTGCTGGGTGTTGATGGCCAAGAAGACACACTTGATGTTTTTAGCTGAAGAGATGAATCTAATCAGTTTTTAGTATTACCGATTTTTATAAAAAGAGATTTTTTTTGCTCTATCACCCAGACTACAGTGCAGTGGCGCAATTTTGGCTCACCACAACCTCGGCTTTCTGGGTTCAATTAATTCTTGTGCCTCAGCTTGCTTAGTAGCTAGGACTATAAGAGTGTGCCACCACGCCCAGCTAATTTTTATGTTTTCAGTAGAGATGGAGTTTCACCATGTTGGCCAGCCTGGTCTCAAACTCCTGACCTCAGGTGATCCACCCACCTTGGCCTCCCAAAGTGCTGGGATTATAGGCATGAGCCCCCAACTCTGGCCTTTTTATTCCCCTTTGATTTTTTGGCAGAAATGTAAGCTTCTGTTCCATATTCTTTTCTTGTCTGCTGAAAAATGCTTAGTAATTTTCTGTCCTTATTTTTGCCTACTTGTAGGCCAGTAAATGTGAATGGATTCAGAGGCTTGTCACCTGATTCTAGAAGTGTGAATGTGCATTTGGCATTTTGTCCTGTAGCTGCAACAATAGGTGTTATTTTTGATGTATGTAGAGTACTTTTAAGGTGAATTCTATTAAATGTCCTCTACTGTTTCTCTTGTCTTACAAAGACATTGAATGCTTTACAACCCTGAATTTATGTGGGTTCATATCAAATCACAAAATTGTATTCTATTATTCTTAACTAAATACAACTTGTATGGGGATGGCAAAGGTAATTTTCAAAAACTTGGAAGTATAGACTTACTATTTGGGGAACTACTCAGGAATCCATATTTTTCAGTTTTATTGTTAAAAGACTAACTCAGAATTTTACACCTATTAGCTTGTGTGGAACAGATTATGTACAACTTTAAATTAAATCGTAAGGTTTTATTTATGACTTTGCAATATCCAGATAGCCAACTTAAAAAAATAAAAATAAAAATGTTCCACAAAAACAAATTTTAGTTTTGTTTCTTCGTAAGTATCTTTCACTTGTTCTGCAGAATGGCTCTTTGTACCCAAAAGATGCTCAGGTCATATTCATGAATATTTATGGATAAGTCAATAATTTTATTCTATTTTTATTGCTTCATGGGGACATTTAATAGCATTTGTTCTTGTCCAGTCTTATCATTATTTCACCTTTCCCAAGCAAAGTGTTCTAAACAAGCTAATGGGGTCATCTGTGTCTCTTTTATATTTTTATTTCAAAACATAAAAACTGCAGAAAATAAATAATGAATACAGTTCCTTCTTGCATCCTCCTCCTTCCCTCTGAACTCAGTTTTCTTCTTCCCAAAGTGAATCTTTTTCAGTTCTTTAAGTAAGAATCAGTGGGTGGTAAATTACTCAGTCTTGTTCATCTGAATGTCTTTATTTCTCCCTCGTTTATTGGTGATGGTTCAGCTGCGAATAGAATTCTACATTGACATTCATTCTCCCTCTGACATTTGCATCTTTATTTCACTGTGTTGCCTTACCATTGCTGTTGAAGAGTCTGTAGTGAATTTGTTATTTGTTTGTAGATTCTTTACTTTTTTCCCTGTTTACTTTTATAGTTTTTTTCTTTGTCTTTGGTACTCTGAAGTTTCACTACACTGTGTTTGGATGTGCATTTATTTTTATTTTCTTGTTTGAGACTCTTGTGCTTCTTAAATTAAGGATTTATATCTTTTCATCAATTCTGGAAAATTCTTAACTATTAATTATATGAATGTCGTCATTTTTCCACTTCCCCCTTCTCTTTTTCTGATACTTCTATTAGATGTAAATTGGACTTTCTTATGCTACATTGCATATCTTTTTACCTATCTTTTATTATTCTACCTCTTTGTCTCTTCTGCATTCTGAGCAATTTTTTCAGATCTATTTTCCAATTCATTAATGTTCTCTTAGGCTATATAATCTGTTTTACCTACCTAGTGAGAATTTTAATTTTGATGACTACATTTTTTATTACTGGAAGTGCTATTTAGTTCTCTTTGAAAGTCTACTTAGGCTTCTTATTTTCATTGTATTTTGTTTCTTTTTTAAGATTACAACTTTCCTTTTATGTCTTCAATCACCTTGAATGTGTCTTTAGATTATTGTTCTGTTATATCAGTACTTGTTGTGTCTGCTAAATCTTCTGTTTGTTGTGCCTGCTAATTCCTGCCCATGATGGATTGCTTTTTACATACTTTGAAATTTTTCACTGTGAATTCTTTCACTGAGCCTCTTTTTCTGTGAGTTCTCCTTGCATCCACGGTTGTGGGAGTGTTTCTCCAGCACAGTTTTGCTTTTGCCCCTTCTGTTGCCCAGAGTTACTGCTGTCCGGGGCCAAATATTCGGTGACTTTCTGCACCTAGAAGGTGACACAAACGTATATCCCAAACTTGTAAGACTTTGGCCTGTGGTTTTAAATTCTTGGATGTGAATTTTTTTTTCTTGTTATTTTACATAGAACTTAAGCAGAGACCACTGGGAACATCTTTTCATCTTCTTTTAACGGTGCATAGATGTTTCCCTAGTCCATTGTTTAGGACCAGACTTTATGTAAGGCATCTTATTTTCTGTGTCCCACCTCTCAGGGCCCATATCAGTGTTTCCTATCCCCCGGTGGACAACAACAAAAGCCTCTAGGATAATGAAACAAACAGTCCTCTCCCCGGACAGCCACTAAGCTACCTCACTCCCTCCTGTTTTTCCTTTCCTTTTGCCTTTCTTGTGAACTCATTTCTGTACTTAAAAAAAAAATGTTATATTTCATTCAATATTTCCAAGCA